GAATCAGACTCACTATCTGTGATCTGACAGCTGTTTCTGTGGAAGTGGGAGTGCAGAGGCCAGTGACTACAAGCCAGATTTTCTGTTAATGTCAGATTCTGGCGTATCCATGGAATCAACCTTCAGTGGAATTTGCAAGTGTAAACTCAACTATCACCACCCTGCAATGGACCTTGACTTTGGAAAAAGCCGTGAGAACTTTCCCATGCAGATTCCAACAGCCAGCTGGTGGCAGAGATGCACAAAATGCTGGTTTCCATAGTTGGCTACAAAAAGTCTAGTTGATCAAGTAGAATGGTAGAAATCTGGAAAATTTCTGATGACATGAGGGTTGGTTGGATCTTTCAGGGCTGCAGGAACAAAACTTCAAGTTTCAGTCCTACTGAGCTCAGGAACTCCCCGCAATTAAAACTCAAGGCCCTCCAAATAGTATTAGCACCTTACTAGCAGGAGCCAGATTTCACCAAGGCTAATACAGTTTGCATTTCAGTAGCGTATGGAGAGAGGGGGTAAGAATGACTGGCCCTGATCTAGGGTATTCTTATCAACCAAGTATTTCACCTCCCATCACACACCCAGAGAACAAAGAAACATGCTTAAAATAAAGGCATTTTAAATGTAATTTCTCCAAATGCATTGCCTTTACGGTGTGAGTTTCAAAGTACGTGATTCCCACTCCCTTGTATCTGTCTTGGCTCATGCAGACTTCCAGGGATCTTGCTGTACACACTGCATTGGAAACAAACAAAACAGTTTCTGTTCTCCTTTCTCATGGTGTTAGAGGTTGGTAGATTTCCAGTCTTGACTCTGAAACTAAGATTCCCCTCCACCAGGCACCAGGATGGCTGGCTAACACAAAAGTCTTGACAGCTTCTTTTCTAGCTCCAACCTTCTCTTGGAGGGATCTCCTGTTGCTGCTGTTATTCCTCTTGACCCTCTAGAACCTCCAGGGAGGCTCTGAGTGATTCTGAGTGTGTTTTATTTATAAGTCAAGGGTGTAGGTTGTAGCCATGTTGGTCTAATGACATAGGCAGACAAGGTTCTTTGGGTAAATCTGATATTTTTTTATTAGACCATCTAAATAGTTGGACATTTTTTTTCTTAGCAAACTTTCAGGTTTAAAAAGCCTATGTCGGGCTGAGGAAGAACCTGCAGTTGGTGAGTACTCTTTCTGGATGGAATGATTCATTCCATGCAGGCTACACCCTGCACAGAAGGGACTGATAAGGGAAGAAAGGTGGAGATGTAGCTCTCTATGTAAGGGAGCAGTACACCTCCTTGGAGGCTG